GCATTATCAGTGAAGGCAAACATGTGTATATTGGTAGATAGATGAGTGGACAGGCTGAACTAGTAGGTATCTCTATGAAGTGGGGAGTATACCCAAGAACACGTATAGGCTTGGCAGACATTGGTCCTATAAGTTTATGTGTATGATCTGAATTCCCAGATGTATAGTAGAACTGACAAGGGGCAAGGTTGTAGTCACTGCTTTGGTCACAGCCAGCTACCAAGAGAGACCTAGTAGTTGAACCTGTGGGCTCGGGACCATAGTCGCAGGGGATATCAAGCTCAATTGACATAACGTAGTACACAAAACATTGTTCCACCTCCTACTTTGGTGAGTAGCGACTGGGGTCTTAAAAGCTTGCAAGCTGCCATCTAGATGCAACGATTGGTCTCTCCTCATCCAGAGCAAATAAGAATGAAGAAAACCAAAAATTCATGGATACAATCAGTCCTAGCGACTGGTACACCATCCAGTCTTCAGCCTACACGACTATGAGACCAGAAGAACTAGATGGTGCCTGGCTACCAATGTCAACCACTTGGAAGGGGATCTATGAAAGAGATCCTGGATAGAGAAGGAGAACAATGTGGAACAAAACTCAAAATCATCTGGAGAAAAAAAAAAGGGGGGGGGGAAGGACCAGGTTTGCTGGTCCAGTAGAGCCTGGTGGAACCACTGAGACTATGGCCCCTAGCTACCCATAAGGTCTGGAATTGAACCCACGCCTGTGGCTTCCAGCCAACAATAGACAGGTATATGAGCTGAACATTTCCCTGACGTCTCCTTGGAGAGAACAATCATGGGAGAAAGAAGGGCTGCTTATGCACAGGCAGACAGCTCAGGGGGCAGGAGTGCATGGAGGGATGGACACAGGGAAGAGGTAACTATAGGGAGGAAGTGGGAGGGAAGCTGTTGCATTGTGGTAAATTGTGGTCAATGTCATGAGACAAAGTGTATGTGAACTGCTGTACGGAAAGTGAATTTGCTCTGTAAATTTTCACCCTAATCACAATAAAATAAAGTTGGGAAGACAATAAACCAGAGGGTAACCTCAAAGAAAATTAATAAACCTTCTCATCAAAATAAAAAAGAAGAAAGGCAAAAAGATTTAGCAAATACTAAAACAATAGCAACGAAGGAAATGAGGGAAAAAAAATCAATCATAAACAAAATAAACTTAGCACAGAAAATTATATGGAAGAAAGAAATCAGCAACACCACTAAAAAACATGTAACAAAAATGACAGCGATTAATTTATAGTTGTCGATAATTACACTGTATGTAAATGGATTAAATGCATCAATCAAGAGACAAAGAGTTGCAGAATGGATAAGAAAATATGTCCCATCCATATGCTGTCTACAGGAGATACACCATAAATATAAAGACAAAAGCAGACTAAAAATCAAACATTGGAAACAAATATATCAAGCAAATTACAATAAAAAATATCCGGAGTGGCAATATTAATTTCTGATAAAATAGACTTCAAGACAAAAAACACCATGAGAGACAAGGAAGGACATTATATAATGATTAAAGGATCAATCAAACAAAAGGACATAACCATAATGAATATTTATTTATGCAACAGATGAAGGAGCCCCAAAATACATAAATCAAATTTTAACGGAATTGAAAAGAGAAACAGACAGTTCCACAATAATGGTAGGAGACATTAATATACCACTTTCAATGAAAGCTACAACAACTAGAAAGAAATTCAGCAGAGACCGAGAATAACTAAACAATACAATCAACCAACTTGACATAATAGACACATACCAAACACTTCATTTAACAACAGTACTATATACATTCTTTTCTAGCACACATATAAAGTATTCTCTAGAATAGACCATATGTTAGGCCACAAAGAACATGTCAATAAATTTAAATACATTGAAATACTGTAAAGCACCTCCTCAGATCACAATGCTATAAAATTAGACACCAACAATAGGAAGATCAAGGGGAAAACAAACAAACAAACATGGAAACTGAGTAACACGCTGCTTAAACACCACTGGGTAATGTTAAGTTGTTATGTACCATGGAGTCAGACCTGACTCATAGCAACCCCTCCTTGGGTTTCCGAGGCAGTATCACAATGGAAGTAGATTGACCAACCTTCTTTCCCAGGAGTGGCTGGTGGGTTTGAACTGCCAGCGTTCTGGTTAACAGTCAAGTGCCTTAGCCACTATGCTACCACAGCTCCTCCACTGGGTAACAGAATACATAAAAGGAGCTCCGGTGGTTCAGTGGATAAGGCATTTGGCTGTTAACCAGAAGTTTGGTGGTTAAAACTTACCAGCTACTCCATGGGAGGAAGATGAGGCAATCTATTCCTGCAAAGATTTACAGCCTTGGAAACACTATGGGGGTTGCTATGAGTCAAAATTGACTCGATGACTGTGGGTTTAATAGAAGACATAAGAAAGGAAATTTTAAAATTCCTTGAGTCAAAGGAGAACAAAAATACAACATAACCAAAACCCTTGGGACACAGCAAAAGCAGTGCTCAGAGGGCAAATTAGAGCAATAAATGTACACATCGAAGAAGAAAGAGTGAAAATCAACACCTTAACCCAACATCTCCAACAACTAGAAAAAGAGCAGCAAAAAAAGGCTATAGTCACTAGAAGAAAACAAATAATAAAGATTCCAACAGAAATAAATGAAACAGAAAAACAACAGAATCAGCAAAACTAGAAATTGGTTCTTTGAAAAGATTAGTAAAACTGACAAACCACTGGCAAATTTTTTTTTTTTTCTTTTTTTTTATTGGGATTTGGGTGAAGATATACAGAGTAAATTCACTTTTCATACAGCAGTTCACATATACTTTGTCTCATGTCATTGACCAAAATTTACAATGCAGCAGCTCCCCTCCCACTTCCTCCCCATAGTTACCTCCTCCCAGTGTCCATCCCTTCATACTCTTCTGCACCCTGAGCTATCTCCCTGTGCATAAGCAGCCCTTCCTTCTCCCATGATTGTTCTCTCCAGGGCGTGTGTCTACTTGAGGTAAATGTTGAACTCACATGCCTGTACTTTGTTTGGCTGGAAACCACAGTTGTGGGTTCAATTCCAGACCTGAAGGGCAGCTAGGGGCCATAGTCTCAGTGGTTACACCAGGCTCCATTGGAAGGAAAAGAAGATGCCAATAACACGAATATGAAATGAAATAGGTGACGTCTTAACAGAATCAACTGAGATAAAAAGGATAATATCAGGATACTATGACAAACTATACTCCAGCAAATTTGAAAACTTACAAGAAATGGACAGATTTCTAGAAAATTCTCCAATGGTTCTCTACTGATCCTATTTCAAAATAGAAACTCCTTCCTGAGGCCTGCAGGGCCTGGCCAGGCCTGGCCCCAGCTGGGTCCCAGCTCACTCGCTATCTCTCCGCCACCCACTCCTCTAAAATCACGCTGGCCGATTTTGTACTTGCTGTTCCCTCTACTCAAAATGCTCTTCCCCAGCTCTCCACAAGGTCAGCTCCTTGTTGTCCTCCAGGTTTCCTTCTCAAAGGGGCCTCTCCCAACTGTCCTAACAGATGTGGCTGTACTAAAAAAAAAAACGACCAGGTTTGCCGGCCTAATTAGAGCCTGGTGAAACCCAAGACTATGGCCCCTAGCTGCCCTTCAGGTCTGGAATTGAACTGAACTCCTATGGCTTCCAGCCAAATAAAAAATCAGCAAAAGGGCTCAGTATTTACCTAAGGTAGATACATTCCTTGGAGAGATCAATCATGGGAGAGTAGAAGGGCTGTGTATGCACAGGGAGACAGCTCAGGGGGCAGGAGTGCATGGGAGGGAAGGACACAGGGAAGAGGTAACTATGGGGAGGAAGTGGGAGGGGAACTGTTACATTGTGGGAAATTGTAGTCAATATCATGAGACAAAATGTGTATGAACTGCTATATGGAAAATGAATTTGCTCTGTAAACTTTCACCCAAATCACAATAAAAATTAAAAAAAAAAAAAAGCGGCTATACTTAGCCTGCACCAAAGTCATCCTCTATCATATTAACTTGTTTTCTTCATAGCACCTATCTACAAGAATGTAACATGCCTCAAAGGCATGTTTTTTGCTGGTTTTATTCACTGTAGCCTAATCATGAGAATAATGCCTGGTACATTCTAAGTATTCAATAAGTCTTCTGCCTGAATTTTCCTTTTTTTTTTTTTAATTTTAATTTTGATTGTGATTTGGGTGAAAATGTACAGAGCAAATACACTTTCCATACAGCAGATCACATACACTTTGTCTCATGACATTGACCACAATTTAGCTTCTGCCTGAATTTTCATACGAAATTTTTATTTTCACTGCTCTTTTGTTTTCCTCTCCAACTAGAATATAAGTTCCATGAGGGCAGGGCCCTTGTCTAGTTCATCACTATAGCCCTAGCACCTGGACCGGGGATGATGACACATGGCAGATACCGATTAAGTAAGTAAGTTCCTCATGGTTTGGAACTCCTGCCACCTCATCCTCCCAGGCTGGAGCTGAAGAATGCCATAACTTGATGTACCCCAGAGAAAGCACCATCTCTGGGACTGGGAGACCATGGAGTATGGTCTGGGTTTTAATACTGCTTCCATTACTACTGGCTGTGTCAAACTAGCACATTGCATAACTGCTCAGAGTCTGTTTCCTCATCTATTATAAGGGAATAATAACAAGACAAACCTAACAGAGTTGCCAGGAGGATTTAGTGAAATCATGTAGGAGCCCAGCAGGCAGTAACAAGTTAATAAACACTGGCCAGTATTATCAATTTTATTTTTTAAAAAAAAAAACCCTAGAGTGACGTTCCTGGATTATTTGTCTGACCTACTGAAAATGGCAAAGCCTTGGCACAAGAAACTGAAAAGTTCTACAGCCCGTGGTAGCAGCCTAGGGCTCCTTTTCTCATGATGTCACTCCTATGCCACCTTTCTGCCCTTCCTGCTGATACCAGATGGACATAACCAATAGACTCACATTCACATCCAGGAAACGTAGATACTCGCGGCCAAAGGAGCCCTCAGGCAGGCTCTGGAGCTTGCTCAGGTTGAGTGTGGACAGTGAGATCCGAGGACGCTCCCTGCAAAGGCAGAAGGCAGGACTCGGGTATTGGTAGGGCACCAGCAAAGGCAGGTGAAAGGTCTAGCTAGAACAAGGTTGTGAGGAGTGGGAGGCAGAGGGCAATAATGGGGTCACAAATTCTGGAGCATTCCAGCTAGCCAGGCCAACGGCAGGGACAGAGGGGATTACTACAAACTACGCAGCAGGGGTACAATCTAGGCAGGAAAGAAGGGCAATGTGATCACAGTACTTCCCACGGGCGAAGAAGGGTAGCAGTACAAATAGCATGTGTTCTGGCAGCTTAGTGAAGGTATAGAGCCCTGTGGCTGGAACTGGGCCAAAACCACCACACTGCACAACCCAAGTGTCATCATAGTTTATATGTGAATGACGCGCTGGAGTTGTGCAAGCCCAGTTAGTGTAGCCATCCATAGCCAGGGTATTAAGAAAAGCTCCCTAGGCTAACAGGACTGACAGTGTGACTCCAGAGAGATCAGGATCTCCAAAGAATGGCACCAATCTCCCAGGCAGAGCTGAAACCTACTGCAAAATCTGAGCACCCTCTGGATCCCTCCTCATCTGGTCCCTGAGGGCCTTCAGGCTACGGTGTCCTGTGGTCTCTCCTAGAACCGCAACCATATCTGAAAGGACAGAAATGGGCACAAACGGTAGATGTGAACTTAGGAGGTAAGTTACCCGACATGGTCTGAGCCTTAGTTCCCTATATGATAAAATATGAATAATACCTACCTCTAAGTTATGAGGATTCATGCTGAACACTTAGCAAACTGCTGGCACACAGCAAGGACCAATATATCGATAGGTGTATAGATTCTGTCACTTGGATCTAGGTGACCTTGTGCAAATTGCTTCACATTTCTAAACGTCCTAATTTGTGAAGTGCAGATAACATTTGGCGTGTGAAATCAAGAAAAGCACATAAAACACTTGGCATGGTATGTAGTCAAAATAAGCACTCAATGAGAAGTTCTATTATCGGTTTTATTAGTAGCGGTAATCTTTGGAAGGGAAGAAAAAGGCATTATAGAATCCTAGATTCTATTCAATTCATTCAATGTTTACTGAGCTTTCACTATGCACCAAGCACTATCCAAATGCTGCAGACAGAGCGGAACAAGGCAGTCAGAGTCCTTGACCTCATAAAGCTTACTTTATAGTGAGATGTTATAACTGAATATAACCATTTGCCTTAGAATAGATTCCTACTCGAAGCAGCCTCCTTATGAATGTCAGAGTAGAATTGTGCTCCTGAGGGTTTTCAATGGCTGAATTTTTGGAAGTAGATTGCCAGGCCTTTCTTCTGAGGCACCTCAGGGTGGGCTCAAACCTCCAACCTTCCCATTAGCATTGACTGCAGCTTAGTCACTGGCGCGTTAACCATTTGATCACGCAGGGCCTCCTATAACTAAATTAGTGCTTTCAAATCTTCTCTTTAGTCTCAATGTGGCTGTATAACATTATCTCACTGGAAGTAGTTTAAAAAGGTAAATAAATGCCCAAGTTCCACGCTTCCTCCCGCCTAGCTCCACGAGGTAGATTTGAATTTAGGCTAGTTCAGGGGTGGACCCAGGCATCCACATTTGTTATAAACGTTCCTGATGATTATGAAGTGAATCCAGATTTGAGTACCCTGCTAACCTGTCTTCCAGTTACCAATGGGACAGTTAGGTTTTGACAGAAGTCGTGACTCAACCAGGCTTCCAAAGGCAAGGGTGCGCGCCTAGACCCCTCGTCCTAGACAGGGTCGCCGGCCGCGGGCGGCCTTACCATGGCGGTACGGGTTGTAGAGTGCCATTCCCGCAGAACCGGCGGCCAGCAGCGCCTTCTGCAGTGGGGAGGTGGGGATGTGGTCAGGATAGAGCAGGCCAGCTTCATGGCTCCCAGCCCGGAGGGGGACGTCTGAGGACGAGAAAAAGGCAAAGGTCAGAGGAACAGGTGTCTGCAGAACTCCACCTTGCCTTCACCCAGAATCGGACGCTACTTGCCTACTGCTGGCCAAGGGCGGCCCGAAAACCGCCTGAAAGGTCTCAGGGCCAGGAGCACCAGCGTCGCCATGGCAGCAGGCACGTCCGGACTTCCGGGCAAGGCTAACTCCCCAAACTTCTCTTGCAACGGAGTGCTGGAGAGGTCACAACGATTCGATCTCGACTTCGCTCCTTTTGCCTTCTTAGGAAAAATCGTAGCACAGACAGGAAAAGGCCCTATAGTTAACTATGAAACCTAGGCAACCTGTCTACTAAACTATTTCCATCGATACAAGAGTCTCTCCACTTCACCTCATTCCCAAAAACGGTCTCCACGAGAAATATAAGCCCGGCTAGTTTTGGCTTTCAACTCTGGACCATACTTCCTCTCCCGCAGCATGTTTTCCCCGGCGGCAATAAGGTAAGAACCACTTCCGGGTGTGGAACATGGCGGCGCCCGTTGTAGGGGCTACATTTAGGGGCAGCCGTACAGCTTTTTTGTCTAGGTCTTAGCTGTTCTTTGAGCCCGGGCCGCGGGCTTCAGGAATGGGGTCTGCCGGCCTAGCTCGGCTGCATGGGCTTTTCGCGACCTACAAGCCCCCGGGGCTAAAATGGAAACACCTGCGGGACACCGTGGAAATGCAACTTCTGAAGGGTGAGTGTCTTGAACCACATTCACAATTCTGCTCCTGTTTTCCTCGGGGTCCGTCTCCGCTTTTCCCCAAAATAGTCACTCTGTTGAGTAGAGCGCAGCCCTAATCATCTGCTTTGCATGCTCTGTTACTGCTCATTTTCCTTTCTTTTCAAATGGAGAAAGTGAGGTTCAGAAAGTTTAAGTATTGTCCATTGTCACACAGTTTAGTAAGTAGCATAGTCAGGATTTGAATCAAAATCTCTTTTAAGTACTACTATTTTGTTCTCTTTGCTCTGGGTGTCTCATTTGTTTTCTACATCCTTCACTTCCCTGATCTGCTGTTCTCTTCACCTACCTCCCCACCCCAAAGTAGTCAGCTAGAATTAACAAGGTGATCTTTACCTATGTGTGCTCAGGTCTCAACGCTGGAAAACCTCCTGTCCTTGAACAACGTGTTCGCTTCCTGCTGGGCCCCATGGAAGGAAGTGAAGAGAAGGAACTGACCCTCACAGCCACTTGTGTGCCCACCCTCACCAACCATCCCCTAGGTAAGACATTTTTGGGCAAGGCCCTGGGTTTCACTTCCCAGCAAATCTCCGAGCAGTCAGTATCTCAGTCCTCAGACAATTTTTGTCCCAGACTCTTGGAAAGATACAGTGGGCATATAGTATTAGACCAGGGGTTGGCAAACTTTTTCTGGAAAAGACCAGATAGTAAATATTTTAGGCTTCGTGGGCCATGTGGTCTCTTGCAACTACTAAACTTTGCTGTTGTAGTGCAAAAACAGCAGTAGATAGTATGGAAAGGAATGAGTCTGGGTGTATTCCAATAAAACTTTTAGGACACTGACATCTGAGTTTTATGTAATTTTCACAGATCACTAAATATTCTTTTTTATTAATTTTCTTTTTTAAACTACTCAAAAATGTGAAAACCACTCTTAGCTTGCAGGTCATTAAAAAAAATAAAAAACAAATTTGTAGATTTGGTCTGTGAACTATAGTTTGCTAACCCCTTTATTATTCTAGGACTCCAAGTGGGAATCGGGACTCCTGAGAAAGTGACTTTATAGTCAACAAAGCTGCCCAATGGTAGTGATGAATCCCCTGTCACTAGAAGTGATCAAGGCATCCAACTCGAAGCAACTTCCAGTTACCAATGGGACACTTAGGCTTTGACAGGAAGTCTATAGGAGGACCAAAGGACTCAACCAGAAACCTCTAAAATCCCTTTGGCTGGTGATGTTCAGCAACCCTACAGTATAAGAGCAATAGCAGTATAATTTATCAGGTTCTTACTTTGGACTATGCCTTGTATTGAGCTTTATCATCCTCTCTGATCTTCCTGTAGATTCTTCTTGATCTACAGAAGTATAAGCACTTCTAGCTTATTCCTGCATTTGTTCTTTCAGTAGTGATTTCCTGAACAGCTGGTGAGTTCTGGGTTCTGAGGTCAGAGATGTGGACAGACAGGCCCGGGTCCTGTCTGAAGGAGCTCATAGCCTCTATTTTCTTCCTGGGATGGTGGCCATGACTCTCCTTTAGCAGGAGCTGGTCAGAGAACCCCACAATCTTGATCCCCAGGGTTATCCCCAGTCCATTTGAAGCCCACTGGGAGACTGGTCCTACGCAGAGTGACAGGCATTTTGGTTGCCCCTTTACTTGGCCCTTGAGGCTGAAGAAATGGTTCTGGATCCTCAGTTCTTTGGTAGGGAAGCCTGAATCCTGGCTTTGGGTTCCATGAGACCACATTCTAGGAATGAAGTTGCCACACAGCCAAAAGCTGTCTTGGAGGCTGGATAAGTGGAGGATATAGACCTTGTTTGTTTCTTTCCAGTGCGTGGACCAGAATTCACCAGTCTGAAGGTTGGTGTGGGACACCGGCTAGATGCCCAGGCTTCTGGGGTGCTTGGTAGGTGATGTGGTAAGCCTGGTTGTACAGTGACATGGATTGAGGGGAAGATCAGGGAGCTACTGTGATACATACCTGCTTCTTACCCAATTGCTGTTTCCCATCACTGTCCTCCTTCCCTGATTTCCTGCCCTAGTTGGGTTGATGAGTGATGAAAGAGGGTTATAGGATAATAATCAGAATTACTCATCTTTATCAAGTGACTCCTGTGGTCTAAGTCCTTTTCACATTTATTCAGCATAGCAACTCTTTTAGGTAAGTACTGTATGATTTTACAGATGAAGAAGGATTCCAGGACCTTAGATGACTTGTCCTGGGTCACATGGCTAGTGAATGCCCCTCATCCGGAAAGGAAAATCCATCATCCTTTGGTGGGCACGTGACTCTGGTCTCACTGGCTGGTGTCTGGATGTCATTGTAGCTGAACACACAAAGACCTGGGTCATGAGCCATCTGTGTCCCTGAGGTCAGGCAGTGGCCACATCCTCTAGCTACAGCAGTCATTGTCCCCTTGTCTTGCCTGGGGCGCAGGCAGACATGATCTCACATTCCCTGTCCTTGTCTCTCTCCAAGAATGAATGGAGAGTCCTTCTCTCCTTCAGCCAGAGGAGGAGACAGACCTGGGGAAAGGCAGGAAGTGGCCACAATAGCCACCATTTATTGGTCCCTCCCTTTATGCTGACAGCTTCCCATGCATTGTCTCCTTTAACCTTCACAACATCCACAGGGATATTTTTATCCCCCTTTCACTGACAAGGAGCCTGAGGCCTAGGGATGTAAAAGGACGTACTCAGTAACCCAGATTTCAGTGCAGATCTGGGTGACTGGGCCAGTGAGTCTCTCCTCACTAGGAGTCGAATCAGTTCCTATGGGCGGGGCCGGAAATCTGCATTTTGAGGAGTACACAGAGGAGCTTGCTTGCTTCCTGTAGAAGCAGCTCCCTTTGCATTTTGCTGGTTTCAGGAGCTTCAGAAGTGGCAATATTAATGGGGAGGGGGATCCTTCAGGCAAAGAGAAGGGGAGCCAGGTGTGAATCAGCCTGGGTGCCTTTCAGTGCTCGGCGTGGGACACGGACGCAGGCTTCTCACTGACATGTACGATGCTCATCTCACCAAGGTACGGGGGTCTGGGGACAGCCCACTTATCCCTTGGTCCTATCCATGGGGGTCATCAGCAGGATTCTGGAGCTGAGAGGTTTCCACAGGGAACACACATTTTTTTTTTATGGCTCCGTGCTAGGGAAGACTAATAATAGTAAAGCATTAGCAGCTATTGGCATTTACTGTACACGGACTGCTCTCAGTTGAGTACTGTATGGGAATTCCTTTGTGGAATCTTCACACCTTCTCTGTAATGTGGGTTCTGTTGCTAACCCTGTTTTACATATGAGACAACTGAGGCTCAGAGAGGGGACATTGCTTCCCCAGGGTCACATAACCCTTTAGATGCAGAGCTGGGATTTGAACCTGGATCTGTCCTACACCAGAGCCTGATTCTAACACCACTCTTCTTTCCCCAAGACTGAGAAGTAAATGTCACTGTCTGGCCCTCAGAGAACTTGCTCTCGGGGGGGGGGGGGGCACTGAATCTGGTTCCAAACAGCATGTGTAGAGGTGCCACGTCATAAGATCTGTGCTCTTAGTGGTTAAGGACACAGATTCTAGAGCCAAATGGCTGGTAACTAACCTGGGTTAAAAACCCAGCTTTGACCACTCTGCTAGCTGTGTGTCCTTGGCTGCCTTAGTTTTCTCATGTCTAAAATAGGAACAATAATAATAGCTCCCTTACAGAGTTGCTTTAGTACAATCCCTGGCACAAAGTTAAGGTCCAGACAATGTCATTATGGTCATTTCTGTCATCATCATCATATTAGTTGTGGCAGATGCACTTAGCCCCCCAGGGAGGAGGGAGGGCTCAGTCTGGGTCTCAAAGCTTAGTTATCTTTTGAGAAGTGGAGAGATGCTGATAGGGCTTCCTAGGTGGGGACATAGGTGATAAGTTGTCAGGTTTGGCTGGAGTGTCTCTTTACTGTGGGGTTGACCCTGTCACTGCCCCAGGTCACAGAGGCGAACTAAGATGCAGAGAGAGCAAGGGAACTAGCCCAAGGCCATGCAACAGAACCAGTGCCCTTTCCTAGGGGGCAGCGGGGCAGAGGCAGCTGGGTGGGGGCTGAGTGTGTGAGCTTCCTGAGAGGAGACCTGAGGCCCCCACCTTCCCTTCTTACTGGACAACATAGAGTGTATGGGAGAGCCTCCCAGCCCTCAGCTTCAGTCCAGTCCCCGTGGGTTCTGGGCTACTGGGTCAGGCCTCCCTCCTCAGCACTAAGTAGTAATAGTGGGGAAAAAGGCTGAATCTTCCCCTTCCTGTCCTCACAGGATTACACGGTACGTGGCCTCCTGGGCAGAGCCACAGATGACTTCTGTGAGGACGGACGGCTAGTAGAGAAGACGACATACGGTGAGCGCTCACAGGAGCCCCGGGCAGTGCGGGGGTCGACTGAGGCTGCACCCGAATTTGTTTTCCTTTCAATTTCTCACCCCCACCTGGGCCACAACTGCCAACCATCAGACACACGAACCTCAGGCTGGCTGTCATGGGGCTTTAGGCCCATCATTCTCTCTTCTAGGAACACGCTGTGCTCACTTCCTCACCCGGCTCAAATATCTCCCTAGGGAAGCTATCTCTAGCCCCTAGACTAGGTCAGGCCCTTCCTGCATAGACTCTCAAAATAGCAATTAACTAACAATTGGTGAGTATTTAAAACTATCAGTCCTCATTATTTATAAATCCCATGTTTGCAAATTCTATATTTGTCAATTTGCCTATTTGCTAAAATGTTTATATCCCCCAAATCAGTTCTTGTAGTCCTTTAGCAGATAGGTGCACATATAGAACAGTGAAAAATTTGAGATGTTTCTGTGCACCTGTTATCAGCTGAGGTCAAACAAGACCAATTTGGTATCTGCTAATTCAGCATTCGAAGGACTTTATAGGACATAATTATCAATTAACAAGAATTAACTGTATCTGTGTCCCCTCTAGACTGCTGTGAGCACAGGAACTGTGTGGTCCACTGCTGTGGTCACACACATGTGGCACCAGACTGGGCCATGGGAGGTGCTTCATAAATGTTTGTTGAATGAATGAACGAATGGCTCATTCTTCACTTCTCACCATCCCGATGGTCTTAAGACTTTCCATAGGATCTATTGCATTTGCTTATTACCCAGATGTGTTTTCTGAGGGCCAGCTATGTGCTAGGGTTTGGGAGATGTATGAAAAATCAGACAGGGTCCCCAACCTCAATGAACTCACAGTTCAGCAGGGAGAGGAGACACACACCTATACATTTTCTGTGGGGAAAACAAAGGAATTGTAAAGCAGTGCTCTGTGTTTTGTATTGCTACAAGTAGGTGTGTGTCAACATCTGGAAAATGTCTAGAGTCAGCTTTTGAGAGGGAAGAAGTCAAAATTTGAGAGGGCAGAGATGATCTAAAACTTTTAAAGAAGATTCACACATCATTTGTGTCATTAGAAAATAATGTGAAAATAAAAGACAATTACGTAATCTTCAACAAAATCCTAGCCAATAGACTCCAACAGCATATCAAGAAAATCATTCATCATGACCAAGTGGGGTTCATACCAGGTATGCAG